CCCGACCCAGGTGCAGGATCTTGCAGTCAGTCATGACAAGGAAATTTATGCTAGTAACTTCTGATAAAAGTTTGCTTTTTAAATTTCTAAAGGTTCTGTTAAAAGTTTTGTTTAAGGTCAGTATTTTTACTTGATGTTTGTATTTAGCACAATGTATATATGTTTACTTGGGCTTTTCTATGATTAGGATGGATGATTAATTTAATTCTAACCTGAGAAAAGACATGTCATAGTTGCCCAGAGTTAGGCGTAGCGAGCAAACCCATAGTGGTACAGGAAGAACACATTAAGTGTAGATCAGTAATGTCTTTTGCAGCCAAATAATCCTAGGGTATTCAGGTCTATCAGGAAGAGGTGTGCGTGAGGTAAACTGCACAATACTTGTACTCCAGCCCTGGAGAAGAGTGGGCCCTGAAGTTAGTGCAGCAACCTCTTGCGGACACTGAGAGTACTTCGTGGCACCTTTGTTTTTTGAAGTAACTTGTTTGTTTATTAAGGTTGGTAACCTGTGGTGTAATTGCTGTGCTGGTGAGTCAGTGGATGAATTCAGCATTTCAGTCAATGACTGAAGTGTTGAATCAATGAATGGATTTTTTTTTTTCTTTACTAGTTAATGATGAGATTGGTTGAAGGTCATTTATGCAACTAATAGAGAAGTCCCTAAACCAGCATAAATATTCATCTTGATCATTTAAAGGTGGCATCATTCAGAGAGACCTTTTTCTAACAATGAAATTGGCCAGCTTATTGTACTCTCCTTTATGTTACATCCATTGCTTAATGTTTTCTAGGCAGCACAGCAAATAATTGAACTTCAAGAAGCAGCCCAAATAAATGCAGGATTGCAACCAACTAATCTGGGGAGGAACAATAGCTTACATGATATGAAGACTGTGGTAAAGACCTGGAGGAACAGGTTACCTATTGTGTCAGATGATTTATCCCACTGGAGCAGCATTTTCATGTGGAGACAACATCATTACCAGGGTAAAACTGCCTGGTCCAGCATGCATTCATCATGTAATTTTCCAGACAACACATTGTTTGAAATAAGTTTGTTTTGGTTTGGTTTTTGGTTTTTTGTTTTTTTATTGTAACCTTACAGGAATGTTGGTGATTTTGACAAGGGTTTGTTTTCATTCAATTTCCATTTGTTTCATTATCGTAAGTCGTCATCTGTTAGGTGGTGCTGTGTAAGATAGTGCTGTATATGTAATTCCATTTATATTGACAAACATTTCATGTTTTGTTTCTAGCCATTGTAACTGCGTATGAAAATAGTTCTCAGCACGATCCTAGTTCCAACAACGCTATGTTGGGTGTTCATGCTTCTGCCTCAGCAATTATCCAGTATGGGAAGATAGCGCGAAAACAAGGACTGGTGAACGTAGCTCTGGATATACTGAGTCGCATTCATACCATTCCGACTGTGCCCATCGTGGACTGCTTCCAGAAGATTCGCCAGCAGGTTAAATGTTATCTTCAGCTGGCTGGAGTCATGGGCAAAAATGAATGCATGCAGGTATGGTAGCTTTATCTCTGCAGTTGTTGTTGAACTTGGAGGATTCCACGAGCCATCAGACACGTTGGTTTGCATAAACTGCCTGTCTGCAGAACAGGGTCTGAATTTCATTGGCCATGTTACACCATGCATAGAGTGTTCCTTTAAGTAATGCTGTTAGTCAACAGCAGTCATTGTCCTCTGAATGCTGTGAACAAACCAAAAACTAGCTCAATAAAAATTAAAGCAGAAAGACGTTTTTTGAAATCTTAAGATAGATAAATGGAAAGGGCTTTGAAAATTGTGTTATTTGCAATAGGAATAAACAACACTATTGTGGGACTACCTGAAGCTCTGAATCAGTGTTGAGTGTCTGACTGACAAGTGATGGATGCTGGCATGCCGAAGTGAAATTGTATGTGTTACAAGGAAAGGAAAAAATGTGATTGTAGGCAAAACCCACTGACATGACTGTAAGGTCAGCAAACTGGGACCTTATAATAATAATGCAATATAACCATATAAATAATATAACAAAAAAAACAAGGTGGAAAAGATAACCAATCATCTGAAGAATGTTGTCTATACTATCCAATAGTTTTGCATAGGTTGGTGGAAACTTAAAGTTGTCGTCAGTCCAGATTTTGTAAAATGGAAGTTAAATACTGGAAACTGATGCTATACAGCTTTCCAGAGAATATTTTGGCTGGGGTTTTTTTTAATGAGACTTTCATTTTAATGAATCTACCATTTTAGAAGGCGTTTCTCACTAAGGGTTATTTAACAGGGTCTTGAAGTTATTGAATCAACCAATCTGAAGTACTTCACCAAGGAGATGACTGCTGAGTTTTATGCATTGAAGGGAATGTTCTTGGCACAGATTAACAAGTAAGTATGTTGGCTGGAAGAGGCAGTAGCACACATCTGAGAAAAATGCAGCTGAGGTATTTCAACACAGGATTTGAGCAAAAAAGTTGTTTCATATGTTTATACCATTTCTCATAACTGTGTAAGAGTGAAAGCATACGTGAGAGTTCCTTCGCAGTATGAAGATGTACCTGTCATATTTCTAAGTATTGTAGGAAAGAACTAGTTGAAGGAAATATGCACCTGTTATTTTTTTAAAAGCTTTCGATTTTAAAGGGTGAGATGGCAGGGAGAATAGTTTTTCCAAAGCTTTGCAGCTTAAGATACTTCCTCCACACTTCCCCCCCCTCCCCGTTTCTGAGAGTACTGAGTTAGACAGACTGATGTCTTAGGGTAGGTGACAAAATAAGGTTTCTTTACTTATGTTCTTAATGTACATGTAATATATAAAAAGAAGGAAGAAATGTTCAGTCTATAAACTCACAGCTACTTAAACAAAATTAGCCTACCTCTTTGTTTCTCTAATTTCTGTTCCATTGTTCCTTGTGCATGTCCCATAATTAGCTGCAAGTTGTCAAGGCACAGGACAGTGTGATGACAGAGTTCAGAGTGATTAGACAAATCTGGTGTGTCATGCAGTACTCATTTTGGGTAATTGAACACTGGAGACATCTTGCATTGCAGCACTTCAGTACCTAGGTGCAAGCCTTCCTCTCAAACAACTCATTTTTTAATAGTTTTGCTTTATGCTGACGAGCATCTTGCTCTTTTGAGCAAGATCTGCCTTGAATTCAGTAAACAAGTATCTCAGCAGCCAAATTTTGTTTGGTGATGCCAAAAAACCCCTTCAGATTTCAACAGCTTTTAGTGTTCTTGGTATGTAATGGCAGTATTGCTACACGCTGCATATGGGTGGAATAATTTCTTCACCACTACATTATGGACACTTACAGCATGAAATCCATCAAGTTTTAAGCTGTAGACTGCAACCTCACATAGCGATTTAAGTCAGGAAATGATGAATATCTTCTTTTGTGGATACAAGAGAGAATTTAAATAGGCAGAATGTAATTACCTTGGAAAATGCAGTGGGTTTTTTAATGGCCATGCGCGAATTTGGTTTCAGTTGAGGTGTAAAGAGGAGAAAGTGTGCCTTCCCCATATTTTCTTTTATTTTCTTTTTTTTTTTTACTTTATTTTGTTATAAATGTGTGCAGATAAAGGTAAAAGGCAGCTAAACTGTCTCCATTTGTTCTTTCAGGATGGAATGGATAAAGGTTTCTGCTTAAAACATGGCTCTGATGTATTTTAGGTTCTTTAATCTTACCAAAAAACATAGAGGTGTTTTTTAGCAGCACAGTTGAGGTCAGGAATTTAAGAAGGTTTCAGTTAGGAAGAGTGGCAGTGTTGAACCTGAGAATGTGTGACTACTGATTGCCTGTGTGTCGACTAAACTGGAAGTGAAAGGTCACCCCTGCTCTTGCACCTCCCTGTGCTGCCCATTTGCTGAGCAAGGTGGTAGAAACCGGTTAAAAAAGTCATCTCAGGTGTCAGGAATGATGGATTGTAGAGAAGAAGAAAAAGCAGGCTGAAAAGTCCCTCCTTTATAAAGGGGAAGTGGAGATGCCAAGTCATCTGTCAGGCTGTGGCTGTAGTACTTCCCAACCTTTACCCAGGGCGCAGGAAGCCTCTGGAAGCGAATAACATACATGTAACAGAAACCAATACATACTTTGACAGACAAAGGAGCTTTTCTTTTTTTCCCCCTCAGTAGCTAGTCACCTTAATTTATCACTGTAATCCTCCAAGGTAACCTTTTTTAATAAAAAAAAGTTAATCAAACAAGCATTACATTGCTTTATGTGCTTTATTTCAGTGCTTATTCTCAGAGGGAGAAGTGAAGCACTTTCTATGAATAAAAAAGATCTTTGGACAGTTTAAAAGTTTCTTTGATAATGTGTACGTGAGTTTTCTCACCCTTTCTTTTTATGCCTGAAAAGTTACATAGATTCAAGGGCTGTATTCATATTGGGATGGATCGTGATGAATCTTGAACTAGGAATGTGAGGAAACCTAGAGAGACTTCAGAAGTCTCTAACAAATAATGTTTTCATTGCTATAAACTCTGTAATTAACCTTCACATTCCTTCACTTTTCCTCCTGAAAATAAACTTCTCAAGCTGTGGGGATGAGGAACTGACTGTTTCCAGATAATGTTGATTGTGAATTTCTTCATGCCTTTGGTGGCAGGACTGTTAAGTGAGATGCCATCCTCCAGAAGATGGCTAGTATCACATCTTCCAGTGTTGCTTTGTCTTACTTCTTTTTTTGCTCAGCAGAGAGGCGCTTTTTAATGCATTTGCTTCTGCTCTCCTTGTGGTGTTGTTTGTTCTTCTTTCTCCCAGTATCATACTCTGCTGCTTGGGTGGCTGTTGCAGTGCACTGAGAGTGTTTTAGTTTTTTTTCCAGGAGCATTTGGACCTCTTAAATACTTTCATAATTGTTTCCATTATGAAACATTTACTTTCACAGGTGCAGAACTTCAAGGAAAGCTAAGAAGAAACAATTGCAAGAACTTTAAATAGAGAGCTTAATGGAAAAATACTGAATATTAAGAAAGTAGCTGAGTGCCCAATCAAAATGTGGCTGTTAGTTTAGTAAATTTTTGTTAGTATAAAACTAATAATCTCACTTGTCACAATGCAGGTCTGAAGAAGCAAATAAAGCTTTTTCTGCAGCTGTGCAAATGCACGATGTGCTAGTGAAAGCGTGGGCAATGTGGGGGGATTACCTGGAGAATATCTTTGTGAAAGAACGTCAGCTTCACCTAGGTGTGTCTGCTATTACTTGCTACCTGCACGCGTGTCGTCATCAGAATGAGAGCAAATCAAGAAAATACTTAGCAAAGGTAAGATCTAGATGTTTATAAAAGAACTGGAGCTCCACCCCTTCCACAAAGTCAAGGATAATGTTCAGTGTTCAAATTTGGCAATTAAAGAAATACCAGTTAGTGATAAAAAGGCTTAATTTAGGTGGGAAGCCTGCATATGGCTGCGGCTAGGTGACTGCATGTAACTCACCATGGGTTTTCTCAATTTATTTGGATACCTGGGGTTTTCTTTAGGTATGGAAACTCGTTGTGGGAGAAAGGGAACAAATCACATCCAGCAGTTCTACTATATTTAATGTGGTGAAATACCTGCAGAAAGGGATCCTTTGGTGCTTTAAAATGTAACATAATTTGGTGTCTGTTTATCATTACTATGGACAGTTCATATTAACTTTTATGTCAGTATTGCATTCTAAGCCTTTTCTGTTAACTTTTTCCTCTAATTCAATAGAATTAGAGTAAAAAATTTTAGCCTAAGCTCTTGGTATTATGCATTTCTAGGTTTGGGGATATTTACTTTAATCTCTCTCATGAAGAAAATTTAAACTATAGCAGACTGTGAGAGACAATCTTATTTTGAATGTGAAACAAACACAGAAAATATTTTTTTAGATTAAAGGTGGCCTCCGTAGCATTCTGAAGTTGTTTATTCTCCTCTCTGGTTGTGTAACTGCTAGTGATTTTTATTCAGTGCTTCATATATTTGCATTTAAATTAAACTGTAGAAAAAGTATCATTAGGGGTGGACAGTTAAATTAATTAAAAACAAGCAGAGAAATACTCATGTTCTTGCATCAAAGTTAATTTATCTCAATAACTTATTTTAGGTTCTATAAACAAACCTCATTTTCCATCCACCCTCCCAACCAAAAACCTTGAAAAATTTGTGGAATGCAGTCATGTTTATTGGCTTTCGTCTGACTTGTTTTATAGCAAGTACTACACTTACTTAAAGGATGTAAAAAATAAATGTATTATTTCAAGGGGAAAAAATGACATTGGCAAGACATTCAAGTGTAAGATTTTTTTTTTTCTTGTGTCCGAGGCAACCTTAATACTTAGGATTCCACTATCATATTAATAAAATATCTGGGTTTTTTGTGCATCAGAATGATTGACATGACTTGAATTTAGGCCTGAGATGTCCTCTTGAAATTCTCTTTTAGGTTCTTTGGCTGCTGAGTTTTGATGATGATAAAAACACCTTGGCAGATGCAGTAGACAAGTATTGTATCGGCGTCCCACCCATTCAGTGGTTGGCCTGGATCCCGCAGCTGCTGACATGCCTGGTTGGCTCAGAGGGCAAACTCCTCCTGAACCTCATTAGTCAGGTACAGAAGATAATCACCAATTCTTTATTGTCTGTAGTCTTTGTTTTCAAGATAAGCTACAAATACCTTTCCAAGTAAATTAAGAAAATGTCAAGCTTTAAAAATACTGTCGGTTGCAACTCTCTGGATTCTCTGTAAGTAGAATATTTTACATTTGAAAGTGAGTGTTACTTAATGAAATTAAATCCAGTGAAATTGTATGCCATATGTGCCAATGTGGCATTATATCTTTCCCTCTGGATTTCTGTTTATTACAACGTTGTGAATGTTACTGAACATTTAGAAATACATAGTTAAATGATTGTAATGTAGGAATAGGGGTAAAGAATTGTTAACTTTAGTGACTAAAGGGGTAACTTTCATTAGTGCTTTGTTTTTTATTAGATTTGATTTTAGAAAACGAGGCTTTCTCTGTCACCATCAGAAATCTTTACTGGGGCTTTGTAAATTTTCACCTGAAGTTCAGCATGGCAGATGATTAGACAAACAAGGATAAGGTTTAGGGAGTTAGGTGAAGAAACTGACCGTGGATTTGTAGCTCTGAACTGACAGGAGTTTTGGTTAGTCTAGATCATGTCTGAAGATGGGCTCTGTGGTGGGTAGTACTTAAACACATCATTTCTTTCCTTTAGTAGATACTGACATTCACAGATTTTAAAGGGAATGCTGGATGTTAATCTCCCTTATCTTTTTTGTTTTTGTTTTGTTTTGGTGGTTTTTTTTAATGGGAGACATAAAATCTTTTTTTGTTCTGGGTGAAGTGGGTTTCCTCTTACATTAAGTGCCACAATTAGGTGGTGTAAAGTTACTTTGTAATGGGCCTTCTTATCAAGTGTCACAGGGCTCGCTGGGAATTGTGGCCTAATTTAAAGACTAACCACTGTCATTATGTCTGTTTTTCCTCCATTATGTACATGAGTAAGAGCTTTGAGCTGGCCCAGCTGGTGCTTTGGCATTACACTGTTTTCAGGTTTATTAGGCAATGTGATCTGGAAGCCCTAATTAGGTAATGCCTTAACAGTGTGTGTAGGGAGTTACCATTTAATCCCCTTTGGGTTTCTCTTACTGAAAGAATCTTTAATTTCCTAGTTTTCCATAAGGTGTTATTTAAAACAAGGAGCTGATTATTACCGAGTTGCACTCATTTACACAGAGAATCTATGCATGTTGATCTGATCTACAGTCAGTTTTCTTTAACTGAGAAATATCTGTATGTGTAACTCCAAATAGGTGGGAAGAGTCTATCCCCAAGCTGTCTACTTCCCTATCAGAACCCTCTATTTGACCTTGAAGATAGAACAACGAGAGCGCTACAAAAGCGGTGAGCTATGATGATCAAATTGTTTGAGCTTTTGGTAACTTAGTTAATATTTTGAGTTTCACCTGATTTTACTGGGGAAAATAGGTTCTTTAGAAACAGACTTGTCAAGGCTGAGGGGAAAAAATTCTCTATAACCATTGCTGGCACTAATTTGTTTTTGTGCAGTGAAACTGCAGATGGCTTGAGCCATAAAATATTCACCAAGAAGAATTTAATCCTCTTCATTCTCACGTCACCTTAATTTTGAAAATCACATGTTCTTTACTGGATTTTTATCTTTAAATATTGATGGAGAGGTAGAAAATACTTGGATTGCAAATACAGAAGAGCATCATAGTTTTCCACAGAATATAGTTGTTCTTTTGTCCAATATAATCTAGAAATCCCAGGAGAGCTACTTGAAGAACTCTCTCTTCTCTTCTGTATTCTTTTACAACTGCGTTGGTTATTTAATTCCCCTTTTCACTTGGGAATCTGTTCACTAAATTTCTGAATAAAATTTTGAATTTTTAAGACATTTTTAAAAATTTTCTCCTTTCCAGATTCTGGGCAACAACAGCCAAGTTCAGTTGGAAACCAGTCCCACTCTGCCTCTGATCCTGGGCCAATCAGAGCCACTGCACCGATGTGGCGATGCAGCAGAATTATGCATATGCAGCGAGAATTACATCCAACACTTTTGTCTTCTCTGGAAGGCATTGTAGATCAGATGGTCTGGTTCAGAGAGAATTGGCATGAAGAGGTATTTGGCTTAAATATACTTTCATATGTATGTATTGTGTAAGGAAGAGTTAACTGCAAAATATTTATCTAGAATGATTTTTAAACATTAGAACATAACTCTTTGTTTTGATTAGTAAACAGATGTATTTGTAGAACTGATTGTTCTGACTGGAGTTTTAAGGAGCTTGGTTATTTCTGGAAGCAATACGGAGGTTTCTCAAAATAGTAATTTGAGTGCTTGTAGGATTTAAGCTGTTGCTTGTACTAACTGAAAACTTACGTTCTTACACGAAGTTTCACAGATACCAGTTTCCTTCTTGATGTGGTGGTGGTTTGAATTATAACAGAGCGGATGGACATGCCACACCACTTCTATTATTTGCCTCTCAAAGTGTCAGGCTATTCTGCTCTGCCTGCTTAGCACAGTGCTTGTTTGGAGAAGGGTTCCTCATATCACATCATTTTCTAATATATCAAAAAACATGACAAACTTAGCTGCTGTTGAAAGAGCGAGGTGTACTTTGACGCAGCGTTTCCAGTGCTCAGATTGTTAATTGTGTGCTAACAAGAATTAGTGCTGTCATTCTGGTTGACCCTCTGATACAATTTAGCAGTTTTAAAGAAATGTTTCTGGGATGTTAACTTTATTCCCACACTGCATTTTATATAGTAAATTGTCATGTTGTCTCAGAAGGCCTAATCTTCCTGACTCTCTTCTCTCTTACTTTTTTAAATCCTTAGGTTCTTAGACAGCTGCAGCAAGGCTTGGCGAAGTGCTATTCCGTTGCTTTTGAGAAAAGTGGAGCCGTTTCAGATGCCAAAATCACTCCTCATACACTAAATTTTGTGAAGAAGTTAGTCAGCACTTTTGGAGTAGGTCTTGAGAATGTCTCTAATGTGTCCACCATGTTTTCTAGTGCAGCCTCAGAGTCGCTAGCTAGGAGAGCACAAGCAACAGCTCAGGATCCTGTGTTCCAGAAGTTAAAAGGGCAATTTACCACAGGTAAATGTTTAAAGTGTTTTCTTAGAATGTTACTTTTAATCTCCCACCCCCAAGTTCAACTCTGAAGGCATTTTGCTTTTTTTATTATTCTTCCAATATTTTTTCTGAGGCAAAATACAGAAACCAACACCTTTCTGTCATTCATCCAACCTGAAATCGTTTGTTCCATTCTTCTATGGAGCAGTAAAGATAATTGAAGTGGAAGACAGACCTCAGCATAGAGAATGAGTATATTGGTGTATTTTTATTACCTAAAACTATGGTCAGCCTACATATGTATTTAAAGATTGTGTTTGTTCACTATAATATTTCTGTAATATGTGTAGAACTGCCTGATGGTCACTCTTTTATACATATGTGTTTAAAGATTAATTGTGTTTGTTCACTATAATATTTCTGTAATATGTGTAGAACTGCCTGATGGTCACTCTTCTATGGTCATGCCAGGATTTAATTGAAATTTTCAGCCTAGAATTCAAACTGATAATATTGGGTGAAGTCTTTGAAAACAGCCTACTTCTGTTGAGTGAGATTGCTTTAGTGTTTTGGGTAACTAGATTATAAAAATCCTATTACACAAATTTACATCGTTGTTAGGTAAATTGAATCAATAACTTTAATCAGATCGAATAAAAAAGATACTTAAGGGAAGTAGCTTTTTTGCTTAATTTGTTTTCCCCTTATCAGTGGAGTTTTATGTTTGAGTATCTGATGTTGATTTAAAATTCTACGAAAACCTTGTGTACAGAAGAGCATGGGTTTGATATCTCTGTTGAAAAGTATTAAGGGTGTGCAGCTGTCTATGACAGAAGGTGACATTGGTTGGATGACAGCGAGTGTTTTGGATTTTCAGAATTCTGAGTTTTGCATCTATCTATCTAAACTACATCAGCTTTTCCTTATAGATAAGTGTAGAATTAGAATAAAATTAATAACTTACTATAGGTGTTGGGTTTTTTTTTTAACAGAAGAATTCAAACTTACTGGTTGTTCAAAACTGGGAAGGTAGAATTTTTGTGAAGACTGGCGTTTTCATCTTTTTCTGAACCTATTTTTCTCTTTACCCTACTGGGACTCTGACTTAGATGATTCTGGCAGGACTTAAAACTTGATCATCTTAGCTTTGATAGTGATTTAAAAAACATCCCCTTTCCACGTCAAGCAGGTTCCTCTGCAAAAGGGCATCTGGCGTTGAGGAGTTATTCTTTTTAGAATTCTAAGTTACGTAAAGTTGCCTTAACTTAAAATTATTTGAGGTCAACACAGGTCCTGAGCATTTACAGAGCTTGACAAGTAGACTGCGGTGTTTTTTCAAGCATTTTACCGATAAAGTGAAAACAAGTGAACTGATGGGAATCTTGTGAAAGTAACTCGGTTGTCGATGTGACCTACATGCCTTGTGCACGCTAGGTATCGCATGATGTCCTTCTTGGGGCACAACAGTTGCATGACAGCAGATAACGAAAGTCCTGAACCATATGATAGAATTTTTAATGGATGAAGTGTACTATGAGGGAAATGGAAGTAACAACATTCTGTGTGCCTTTAATGGAAGCATACGGGGGGGGGGGGGGGGGGGGGAGGGAAGAAATAATTGGGCAGCGATTAATGGGATGAAATGTAACAAGTCCGAATGCTGGTTTCCCTACCTAGGATGGAGTAACGCTAGGCACAAGTATGAACTGGGGGAGGAGTGGCTGGAGAGGAGCCCTGCGGAAAGGGACCGGTGCTGGTTGGCAGTGGCCTCCGGACTCGGCAGCGGGCCCTGGCAGCCCCGAGGGCAAACCGTGCATCACGCCCAGCACCACCGGCTGGTCAGAGGTGATGGTCCTGCTGTGTCGGGTGTTGGGGCGGGCTCACCTTGAGCACTGCATGCAGTTCTGGGCCCACGGTTTACGAGGGACGTCAGGGTTCTTGAATGGGTCCAGAGGAGGGCTTCAGCGTTGCTGGAAGGCCTGTCCTGTGAGGAGCGGCTGAGGACTTGGGTTTGTCCGGTCGGGAGGAAAGGAGGCCTCCACAGCTTCCTGAGGGGCGGACGAGGAGAGCGAGGTGCTGAGCTCTTCTGCATGGTGTCCAGTGACAGGACACGTGGGAATGGTTCAGAGCTGTGCCTGGGGAGGTTTAGACTGGACAGTGGGAAGCATCTCTCCACAGCGAGGGTGGTCAGACACTGTAACAGGCTTCCTGCGATGCCCCAGGGCTGTCGGTGTTTCAGAAGCATTTGGACAAAGCCCTTAACCTGCTTTGACGTTTGGTCAGCTCTGAAGTGGTCAGGCAGTTGGACTACGTGATCTTTGTCGGTTCCTTCCAACTGAAATGTCTAAATTTAACAGAAGTTTGGACTTGTTTCTCTTTTTTAATAACGGTTCATGTGTCTTTACATTACAATAGTAGCATAGTCACTTTTTTATTGCTCTAAATATTGTTGATATACTCAGTTTTTGTTGGATTTGAGTTACTATTGATCTGTTGTATCTCTTAGATTCTTTTATTTGTTTGTTAGAGAGATCTGAGCTTTCAGAAGGTGTAAATGAAAGGTAAATACAACATCAGGCTCAAGTCTGCCAAATCTAAAGTCGTTTCAGAAAGTTTCTAAAGAAACAGTTAAAGTTTTTAATTACAATTCAGTTAAAATTTATAGTTGGAATAAAACAAAAAATAGAGAGACTTTCAGTTGTTACATGCTGTTGTGTGTGTTTTTGCCTGTCTCTGTGATATATAAATGGCAGTTAAGGTTTTCAAGTGTGCTATCTAATCACAGCATTTAGGATTATATGGAACAACGTATAAACCGCACAGCCGTAACAGAGGCCTGGACCTAAGTCATGCAAAGTCATCAAATGCACTATGTTTCTTAGTAAATTTCAGTTCAATAATAAGTAGTTATTTTCTCTATTTTTTTTGTTGGAGAATTGTACAAAAGTTTATTTTTCAAGTATTATTAAACATGAATGTCTACAGGATTAAAATAATTATTTTGCTTATTGCTAGATTTAATTTTATTTTAATCTAATAAATTCAGTCTTCTAATTCACAAATGAAGTGTGAGAAAACAGAAGAAACCAAATGGATCCATATACTTGCGTATTTTTATAATATAGTTAATTTGCAGCAAATAAAAATAGTTTTTTAATTCATTTTGTATTAACAGTAAAATGTGCATAAGAAATGAATAGTATTGTAATTACTGAAGATAGCAAAGGCTGTTCTGACATCAGGAGAAACCAGTTGTAAATCGTGCCTACTGTGTCCTTCTCTCACACTAGGATGTTCATGTTTGTCTTCCTGATTCTCAGTACCAGTTGCATGTAGATGATGGACAGATAATTACAGTGGTTGCCCTCCATTTCAAAAGCATCCAAGCTGAGGAGCTGTCTTGCAGTAAACTCTTTTCTTCAGTTATTTCCAGATTAATGTTGACAGCTATGTTTTATAGACACTTTCAACTCTGTTTGGTTGCATAATCATTTCCATCAACATCTGAGTTGCATCTTGATTCCTGTTTGGAGCCGCTGGGGACTCTCACACCATTTCTTATATTCTGTATACTTTGTCTGCAGCAGTCTGGACTGTTGGAGCTTTGATAGGTCATCTTTTTCCATCCTAACGTTATATATTTTAAAATCAAATTTTACTTTGAATTTTTTTTTTGAACTTCAAATACGTAGTTCTTTGACCATCTGTTCTTTGTTCCTTCTCTCCTTTTCTGCAAAACCTTTGACATCAAAGAACAGGCAAATGCTGAGAAATGCTCCCTTTGAGAGTTCTCTCAGCAGTGAAAGGAGGAGAAAAACTGCCTCAATTGTTCTTTTGTGGGCAGATGATAGTTTCAAGTTTGGATCAGCTTCTTTCTGCAGCCATCTCTCCACTCAAGCTGAATACGAATGGAAAATTCCAAAATACGCCCTTAAAGGGCAAGATCATTTTCTGGAGAGTTTTGGCACCCAGCAGAATGAATTATTTACTGCAAATGGAAACTCTGTAATCAGAAGGAACCTTCTTGAAGTCCTAGTATGTCTCTGAAGTGTGGAGAGAGGGCAGGGCAAAGAGCTCTGTTAATGATTTTCAGCTTTAAGTGGTGGGTGTTTTTTTTTCTTTTCTCTTAACAGTGAGCATGGCATCACTTTGGTTGCCTTTCATTACCTCCCTTCCAATTTTTAGTTAGCAGGATGTTATCCTGAAAATCCAGATGAAGAGGTTGGAGTTAGCATTGTAGTTGACCTTGGTCTGGCCTTTGCAGTCTTGGTTCTCTGGAGCCGTCTGATAAAGCCGAAGTCCTGCTTCATATTTCTGCTTAACTGTCACTCAGATTTTTTTCATGTTTGTTGCTGCTGTCCAAAAGTTCTTGTAAGATTATAAAGAGCTTTTGGGAAAGTACAGAGTTTGTAAATGTCTGAATAATGACTTTGAATTCAAGACAGCTCTTCTGTCTTGGAGAAGGCTTGGATCTTCTTCAGTATCATATGTGTAAGGGGTTTGAACTGGTCTGCAAAGCTGAGCTTACGTTTCAGTCCTAGGTGGCATCTTACGTGATGGGTGTCCTGGCTCTTGAGTTGAAGACTCGGGGGTTGTGAACTTTCTTAAGCGGTTTTGTCTATGGTCAGAAAAATCCTCAGAATCTTGCAAAAAGTGTATTGCTTGTGCTAAAAGCATGAACTGATTTAACTGATTAGTACTGTCTTCTGCCAGCGTAGCAGAAGGGTTTTTCAAATTGTCAAGTCTTTGAAGGTGTATGGGTGTGTTTTTTGTTTTTTTTTTTTTTTTCTTTTACTGGTATGGTCATGTTCTATAGGTGAAGGGTTTTGAGGGGACAGAGTTTGGCACTCTAATTTTGCTAAGTGTATTCTTCTTCTGTGTTTCTTCATGAGAAGTGGTGGTACAGCCCTCATTCAGAAAGTATTAAGCTTTGTTTACTTCTGTTGAGAATTGTCAGGATTTTCAGGTCTGTCTCACTGGCAGGAAGGTTGTGCCCCGTTTGTCCTTTCACTGAGAGAGGCCAGAACTTGCCAGTTGTGCTGGGTCGGATGGATTCAGGTAGCAGTGTTGAGGCACTCAGGGCTTCGAAGGGGCGTGTGTTTGAAATACATATATCACACGGTAAAATCTTTAGCAGCATTGAGAACAGAGCGATCTTACTCAGTTGAAATGCAGTCTGTAAAGTGCCATGGTCTCTGTGAATATATCCATTAAAGATGAGGAGGTAAATTTCCTATCCTGTTTAGGAAAAGATGGTATAAGCAGGAAGGTATTTTAGACCAGCATGTCTTAGCTTGAGAAAGCGTTCTCCAGTAAATACTGCAAAAAGTGGATTTATTTGAAACGGAATTAATGTTTATTAAGATGTCTGCAAAGCAGAGAGAGACTTTGCACACAGGCAGTGTCTGGTCTTGTGTTTCCCTTTCTTCCAGCTGAAGTGCTTTTTTATCTCTGATGGGCTCTGTAACATGAGCAAAAACACTAATTGAACTTTGTTTTTCCCATCTGCCACTGGGGGAAAAACCCAACAAAAAAAATCCTAAAATAAGCATTTCAGCGAACTAGAGCTACTCTTGTGGTGAACTGAATGACTTCTGTAAGGAATTTATATTGATACAAATTTTTACTGCTTTGGTGATTCACATTAGCACAAAAACTAGTTGCAGTTTGGGGATACTTTCCTGCACTTCAGGGATTCAGGAGATAAATGTTTCAGTAATTTTGTCACTTCCATGAAGTGATTTACTCCCAGTGCTCGCTAGAGGGCAGGCTTGGGATTGTCATGAGTGTTTTACAGGGATGCTGCAATAGATGTGCTGCCTATACCAAGTAGAAAAAGCAAAGGGAATAATCCAGAGTTACACTAATTTCTAACATCCATAAATATGAAACTCTATTTTTCATTATAAACTTACTTCTTAGACAAGTGGAAAGGATTTTTCAGAATAGGTGAATAATAGTAAAAGCAGTTTTAATTCTTGTCATGTAGTTGCTCACAGATTCTACGTTGTATCCTTAGTTGAGGCTCCTTCATCCTTGTAAAAAGTGAAAAACCTCCACTGATCTTAAAGAAATAAATTACTTTTAATGAAACAGGCAGAAAATTATAGTGCTAGACTATAAGCTTACTTTTCCTCTTTCACTAAATGATCTGATCTAATAGATTGGTTTATTCCTGCTTTCTTTCTGTGCAGTCTGGTTGTAGCATATAGGCAGCTAAAAACAGTAATAGTAGTTAAAGTTTTCACAATATGTTATTCTTATGTTTGCTTGTCTGTAAAATAAAAATTGTGGGAAGCTCATTATTTTCTGTCATAGAGAATAAGTTAGAGCTGTGCACAGAAAAGAGGTAGCAGATTCTGACTGCTTTAAGCTATGTGTAATTTGAGGACTACTAAAAGGCATTCTATAGGGATGAAATATTCAACGGAGCCTGTCTTTGAAAGGCCATGCAGCTCTGTGTGTTTGGTTTGCATTACTGTATGATGTCTTCTCCAGCAGGCAGAGGTTCCTGCTGCTGTATGATCCTATACCCATCATGCTCTGACTCTTCCTTAATGACTTCTATGTCTCTTCTGTGTTTTTCTGAACCTGCTAGTTTTTTGTTGAGTTTAGGGTTGATGGGTAGTCACGTGTCTGCTGGCCTTGCTTGGTAGCATGCTTGCCTTGGGCGAGCTGCTGATGGTAGTAGCTTTCCATTTTATGCAATATTTGAGACCAGTGTGGTGCTTTTCTACATACCAGGTATGTGTGCTCTATGTGGGACTCCTTGAAGTGTTTTGCTTGAGGGCATGAAAGAACCTCGTTGAAAATGCAAACTTCAGACAAGTACTTGGTAGTCAAATACCCTGTATAAAAACTGACATGCTGAGGTAATATAACCTTCTTTTTTTTTTTTTTTTCTTTTAGATTTTGACTTCAGTGTACCAGGGTCAATGAAACTTCACAATCTTATCTCTAAACTGAAGAAATGGATCAAAATTCTGGAGGCAAAAACGAAACAGCTTCCAAAGTTCTTCCTTATAGAGGAAAAGTGCCGCTTTCTAAGTAATTTTTCAGCTCAAACTGCAGAAGTAGAAATACCTGGAGAATTCCTTATGCCAAAGCCAACACATTACTACATCAAGATAGCAAGGTAACCTGATAATACCCTCCGGTAGTTATAATTCTGAAAGCAGAAGAAAATGAAAACCTCCTCCATCTGTCCACTCTGCAGAAGTCTGTCGTGTACATTTCATATATTGAAATTGCATATAGAGTCACACTTTGGTATTACACCTTTAATTTTATCCTCCCAACTGTACTGTGAAATGCAGAGAGTATTTAGTTTTCTTTTATGTTGATATGAATTGAGATTAGTTCTTGTATTGTGATCAGTAGAGGCACCCTTCTTCAAAATAGCTATAAAGGTATGAGCTAATGATTAATTTTGCTCAACAACTGTGTTTTCTTAAAAACAAGTAAACAAAATCAAACAACATTGCTTTTTTACTACAAAATAGAGTAGCTGGATAATAGAATTGTACCTTGTAATGCAGTTGCACTGCTGTATTTCTTTGGAGTTTTTTTGATTTTGAATTGTTTGGGTTTTTTTTATTTTTTACATCATGATTTAGTATCTGAGGAGATTAGTTCAGGAGCTTTAATATTCCTTTCTTCCTGATAGGTTTATGCCTAGGGTGGAGATAGTTCAGAAACACAATACTGCAGCTAGAAGACTCTATATCCGAGGCCATAATGGAAAGATTTACCCATACCTGGTAATGAATGATGCTTGCCTGACAGAGTCTCGTAGAGAAGAGCGAGTATTACAGCTGCTTCGCCTTCTGAACCCCTGCTTAGAGAAAAGGAAGGAAACCACAAAAAGACATTTGTTTTTTACAGGTACTGAAAAGACACATTTTTATATTATTTTTAAACATATGTTATGCTCAAAGATTATAATTGCTAAAGTTTTTGACAGTTACTAGTCACTGATACTGAAGTTTTTGAACATTCAGGAGGTAAACTCACATCTGTCTAGGTGATTAGTCTTTTCTGATGCTGTAGCACCCCTCTGAAGAAGTGAAGTTGATTGCATGTGTTGTAGGGTGTTTTTAGAAGAGCTTACACACGTCATTTATGGTATAAAGTTCAGTTGGGAATAACATGTAAGGCAGAGGCGTGCCCATTGGATCTGTTGCTATGGAAGTGGGTACATGTACTTCAGAATAAGCATTGGGAGAAAATTGCAGAGCGACAGAACAAAACTTTTTCTCCCCAAGTTGCACTATATGAATATTGAATTTCTTTTACCTCTTCTACATAACACAAAAGAACAACTTTTTTTTTTAGAGCTTTGATTTTGAGAGATACATATATATATTCTGAATTCTCTGGTACGAGAACATATCTTTGTAATTTTTGAAGTAACTTTGTATATTCATGGTAATACTGACTTTCACAAATCTATACTGACTGGTTAGCTGTTGCCAAGTAATATCCATTCATAATGTAGATATGGGATGCAGGACTTCTGTTGAGGGTACTTTGATCATCCTGTAAAAGGTTACTTGGTTTGGAGACTGCACTTGACCAGCAGCAGCATCTGGCAACGCTTAAACACTGCAGAACTAACAAACAAACCAACCTAATGGTAGGGAGGCCTTAACGAGAAGAGTTAAGGGGAGCTCCAGTGTGATCTGTGAGTGTAAACTGCCAAAATACTAATGAAACGGTCACGTGTTTCGGCATCACAAGACAGAAACAGTGAATGAAGGCTGAACGCAGTCTTGATTCTTGCTCTTTCCTTGTGTATCTTGGCTTTTTCATGTGTTGATGGTAAATAATTCATTCATGAAATTAGAAAGAGAATATCAAAGTCTTACCTGGCAGCATACTTGATCTGCTTGTGATTCAAATACTAAAAATGCTTTAAAATAGTTGAACTCTTGTGTTTTCCAAATGCTAAGGCTGTTGGCAAGTTCCAGTTTACAGTTATGTAGCTACTTCATATTAATGTATAAATACTTTTCATTTCAATGAATCACTTCATATAAATGAGTTCTGTACCTTGCATTAGTCAGTTCTAATAATCCTTGCTTGGTGAGCAGGAAATATGGATAAGGCAAACTTTAATCAAAGATTCTAATACAGAGCTTTGATTTGCTTTTGTCCTCCTTAAAAGTGCTGAGATCTGATTTTAAGTAAATATGGTTTATCAGCCCTCTGTTTTGGGCTAATACTACCTGTTGACACGAAGTGGCTGTTGTGGACAGATGATGCAAGTTGCAAATACAGAGCTAGGAATATGTATTTGAGTTCTAACTTAAAAAGACTAAAATGTATAAGACAGGATTTTTTTAATAGCAAAAGATAAATATAGTATTTCTGCATGTGCAAAGACAATTTGCCATCACTCTGAGGCCAGAATTACAGACATGCAGTAGATAAAGCCTTGCAAGATGTGATGAATAAGACCACTGATAGAGAAATATATCCTCTCTATGACATGATTAGTAAAGTAGCACCTTTTCCTTCAAAGAGCTGTTTTTAAACTATAGTGTTTTTGGAAACAATTCTCTGCCTTTTGGTTTGATCCTGTTTGAAAGAACCTGAAGTACAATCATTTTTTTGCTGCCAGAGGTTAATGGAAGCAGACCGGAGGAGAAAAAAGCTCATTAACACCCCTTCTGCAGAGTGCATTTTTTTCTTTAAGACTGAAGAAATTACATCAAACAATTGAAATGCGTTTAAACAACTTTGCCCTATGTTTCTGAGGTTAATTATTACGGCTTCCGAGGGAGATGATGAGAGAACCGTTTTGATGGTAGCTGGTGGTCGCTGTCAGGTAGTACGGGCAGTGTCACTGGAAAAGCTAGCTGTGGAAAAGGCCTCGTCTCTCTTGGTGTAGGTGGGGGAGCAGGTGAGATTCAGTAGGATGACACAACCGTTGAGCACTGTGAAAGTGTAGGGTTTTTGCAAGTTTGCTGCTCATCAAGGAAAAGTTCAGTGGCTTACGTTTTCTTATTATTGAAAATGTTGCTGTGTCTGCCCTATGTCATTTTCATATGGCGTCATTTAAACGTGTATTCCTCAGCTCTGTTCAGGTGTTTTTCCTCTCTTTCTTTTTAATCACTTCAAATACCCTACTGAGTTCAGGAGTTTTGTTCTTCAGTCATTTTTACTGACATAATGCCAGTGTTGTGTAGTCAGATATTACGAACCTGTTTGCATCTGAACAAAGCATTACCCTCTCTTCTGCAGATGATGAAAAGTAGGAAGAATGAGTGCTCAATTTTTTTTTTGCTAATGCAGATGTTTCTGATAAGATTAAAAAAATCTGCTATCATACATTCTTTTTAACTGAGCTTGTGAATTAGAGTGCAGTAATAAAAATTTTCTCTTGATACACTTCAGTTGCTTATCACAGTTGTGTTTTAAGGGCTGACACTCACATGCTAACTCTTCTTTTAGGATTTGGGTTATGGATTAACTGTTTTGTTTTGTTTTCCCTGTTTCCCCCTGCCCCATCGTCTCTCCCCCTTCTCAATGACTCCCAGTCCCCCGTGTTGTAGCAGTTTCTCCACAGATGCGTTTGGTTGAAGACAATCCCTCTTCCCTCTCCCTGGTGGAGATCTATAAGCAGCGCTGTGCCAAGAAAGGCATCGAGCATGACAACCCTATTTCTCGTTACTATGACAGACTGGCAACCGTCCAAGCACGAGGGACTCAAGCTAGCCATCAGGTAGTAGAACATAGAATGAATTTTAATCAAGGGTTTCTCTTGAGGACTTTCCTGTGTCCAATCCCCACCCCCCCGATTCTTCACCTCTTGTTAGATGTGAGACATACTTTTCAGAGGGGGTGTTTTGGTTTTTTGGGGAGTTTATTTTGGTTTTGCTTAATGTATTCCTAGGAACTCATATCTCTTTGGTATTCAGGTATCTTGGAATACATCGAAGGAGCTGTATTTGTTTTACTCTAGCTTGTTTTGAGTAACTGCAACTGAAAACAGACAAGGCGTTGATTGCTTTTTGACCGTTTTGTACAGTGCTGTGAAAATAATTAATTGATAACATGGGAAACAGCATTCCTAGTTTACATAAGCAGTTACAGCATGGTATGTGATGCAGGCTTCTGGGCTTCCCCATGTTCTTCTAATGTGTCTCCTAAAATTGCTAGTGGCTTCGTTTCATCCGAGTCAAACAGTTGAGTAATCTCACCCTAAAAAATGGTTAGTGCGTAGAAAGAACAAACCTCCCTCTGTCTGCAACCTCCATCAGACATCCAATTGTGATAAAAAGGTTATGTTTTTTATCTTAAGGTTAATACAAATTCTTACATAACATTCCAGTCCTATTTCAAATATAGCTATTAGAAAATAACTGTTATACATATATCACAGACTTAGTTTAGAGAAACTATCTTTTCAGGCTTTCTTTTTGTTACAAAATAAAAAGTAGTGTAACATCTGTTTCTGTTGTGAGAGTTTTCCTTCAGGTTATGGAACTCTTAACAGCCACTCAATTGAAACCAGTATGACCATCATGCTCTCTGGTATTGCAGAACCGATCCTAACTTTTATTTCTTTTTCTAATTAATTAGGCTCTTCTGTGCTACAGTATTTAAATATTTTGGTAGATTTCAAATTTTACATTTAGGGAAAATGCTGTTGCACAGTGTATTGTACAGAAACAGTTGAATACAGCTCTCAGCTTCTATCTTTTCGTATTTTTGAGGTAATTTTGCTGTAAGAATACATCACAAATTACCCAGTGTCTCTCCCTGTAGTGTGCAGTAAAAATCCTTTACTTTTTACCCTGTATATGAGGAAACCTTGCAGAGGTTGCATGCTTTGTAGGTCTAATTTCAGAACTTGCGGTTATGCTTAAAATAAAGGATTTTATCTGTGCAAAATACCTCTCTGCCTTGCATTGAAGATAGAAAATGGTGAAGTATGTTCTGTTAGCTTCCTGTAGGGAAGTGCAGCATCGGGAGTTGAATGTCTCTGTAGCTCACTTTGGATTTTCTTGAAAGTCTCAAAGAGAACATACTTCAAATCAGGTTATATAACTCTTCAGTCTTGGTTTTTCTGATGTGCTTGTTCTCATGCTTGTGTGGTTTTATTAAAACTTCAGTAATTTCAAATAAAGACTATTTCTTAGCTGTGCAGAGAATGAGATAACAAAATATTATGTGTGTTTTGACAGGGAAGTCAGGAACAGTGTTGGATTGAAAGCATCCAAGTTCAGGATGTTTTTCAGGAAGTTTGGTAGTTGCTTTTGGCATATATCTCTGTTTCTGAGAAGTGTATTAAAAATGATCTCTTTCAACTAATATTTTCCCTGTGTAGGTTCTCAGAGATATACTTAAAGAAGTGCAGAGTAACATGGTGCCGCGCAGTATGCTGAAGGAGTGGGCTCTACACACCTTCCCCAATGCCACGGACTACTGGACTTTTCGGAAGATGTTCACCATTCAGTTAGCCCTGATTGGCTTTGCAGAATTCATCTTTCATTTAAATAGACTCAACCCTGAAATGCTGCAGATTGCCCAGGTATGCTTCAGTTTGTTCTAGATGCGTCCTGTCATCTTTGCTCAAATGGAAATTTGGACTATAATTTTGAAATGAGTCAAACCAGTAATTAGACATGTATAATTAACAGTGCGTTTCAGTAGGCTTTTCATTTCTGTGTGATCCCATATCATGTAGGTAGCAATTTAAACTGGAGTCCCCGTGGACATCAACTGTACCTTCTGTGGTGAGATTTTAGAACTTTGTCTGTAAAATTGTCTGGTGTAGGGAGGGGATCCCTGCCCATGGCAGGGCATTGGAACTAGACGGTCTTTAAGGTCCCTTCCAACCCAAACCACTCTGTGATTCTAAATTGTTCTTGGAACTGTTCGTGTAAATGACTGATAAGCCTTTCTTTTTAGTCCTCCTTCAAATATATTGCTTTAAATATATCTCTGAGTCAAACAGATTTATAAATTATTAAAGTTTATTATTATTAAAGATGATATTATTATTAAGGTTTATTAATCCAAGTTCTTTTGGTTTTGTTAATAAAAACCTGTTCTTTTAATTATTTTTGTGTATCTTGCTTTTAAATCCAGGATACTGGCAAGCTAAATGTAGCTTACTTTCGCTTTGACATTAACGATGCTACTGGGGATTTGGATGCCAATCGTCCAGTTCCTTTCCGGCTTACACCAAACATTTCTGAATTTCTCACCACCATTGGGGTGTCTGGCCCACTGACTGCATCCATGATTGCAGTAGCTCGCTGCTTTGCACAGCCAAACTTTAAGGTTTGTATGTCTTTTGAAAGGTTGCTTGCAGGCATGTTATTTTTGGTGATTTATCAACTAAATGGCACTTTCTTGGTTAAGGTAGAAACTGAACAGTCTGTATTTGCTTTTAAATCTTACCCTGAGGTCATCACAAATGCCAGCTGAAATATTTGCAATTTGCCTTTTTGGAAGGACTAAAGGGTAGACAGGTGTCATTATATACCTAGATATTTTTATTTTGTCCTAGCATGTTAATTCAGGATGATTGTTTCAGTACTTTAGCAGCTTAAATCCCTACAAACTGTGGCATTAGTCAGTTGTCAAATGCAACATCATTAGAATCGTCATCGTAATCTGTGAATAGAAATGTGCCTTGGACCTTTGTTAGCAGAATAGAATGCTAAAGACACACTGTTACTTTGATGGATTGTAGCTCTTAGCAGGGTGTAGTTTTCTAAAGAACTTGTCTAACTTCCTTTTAAATTCTAATGCTTTCCAAAACTGAGGCATCTTTCACTTAAGCAATTTGAACCAAAAAGACATTGCACAGAAAGCACGATAGCTATGGTGTGAGCTAGTTACTTTTTAAAAGATGGAAAATATCCTAAAGTGATTACTTTTCCTTTATCTATAATACAGAAAGCTGGTTTAGAATATTTTCTAAGAAGTCATCATCTAACCTCACAGAGCCATGTCTGTACATGCAAACGAATTTGCAGACATAGCCTGTAACTCCAACACGGGAATGATGTACGCCCCATCGGTTTGGTGCAGCCCCACCTCAAGTACTCTGTAGTTTTGGGTGCCTCGATGTAAGAAGGACGTGAGACTATGAGAGTGTGCCCAGAGGAGGCCAAGGTGTCGAGGGCAAGACTTACTGGGAGTGGCCGAGGTCATTTGGTTTGTTCAGCTTGGAGAAGAGAAGGCTGAGGGACAACCTTATCACAGACTACAGCTTCCTCAAGGGTGGCAGCGGAGGGGGAGTTCCTGATATCTGCTCTGGTGATCAGCAGTAGAACACGAGAGGATGGAATGAAGCTGCATCAGGGGAAGTTCAGACTGGACAATAGGAAAAGGTTCAGCACTGAGAGGGTGTTGGTCACTGGAACAGGCTCCCTGGGGAAATGGTCACAGCACCGAGCCTGTCAGAGTTCAAGGAGTGTCTAGATGGTGCTCGTAGTCATCACACGGTTTAGCTTTAGGTGGTCCTGTGGGGAGTGGGGAGTTGAATTCGATGGTTCTTATGCATCCCTTCCAACTTGGGATATTCTATAATTCTGTGGTTTCCTGAAGGTGAGTGCACAGGTGCCCATTTGTTCTTTTGGGAGCAGTAGGTGCCCAGCTCAGTTGAGGCATGTGGTGGTTATTACTTTAGGTTACCTATCTTTTGGACTTGAGAGGAATATTTTTAACATTTTCTGCATTTGTCTTTTTTGAAAATGTCCATGAAACATATGTAATATGTGTGTGTTGATGTTGGCCTAATACCTCTAGGTGTTATAAAATGTTTTGTTTGTTATGTGCAGACAGTGAATTTGACTCAGACTGGATACCTAAAAGCTTGGTTTAGAAGCTCAAGACTGTTGGAGTTCACAGATTAATGTCACTGACTCAACTCAGTGATGAGGAAAAAGAGTAAACTATTTGTTGCAGGCATTTCTTTTTCATACAAGGATAGAACTGGCCTGTGTACTCGTATGTATGTGTATATATTATGTATGTAGCAGTCAGCATTCTTCCCTGTTTGGCAGAAAACGGTATTCCCTGAGAGTGTAATCATTGTGTGAAAAATTGCCAGCTTCGCAAAGCACTCTTAATCTTTGCACAAGGCTTCTGTGCATGTGTGTGGGAAAAGTCTTAAATTCAATAGTAATTTAAAAATAGAATCTACACGACTCTGTATGAAGATCTTAATACATGGTTTAGTCTATGTGATTTTCATTCCTGTAGGAGTCATTGTGTTGTGTTTTCATAATTAAAGCTTTTTATGAAATACCTTGAGAGGAAATAGTAAAGACACTTGAAAGCCACACTTACCTTGAAAAAACTGAGATTGCAAAGCAGGAACAAAAGTATCAAAATGTTGTTGGCTAAAATCTCTAATTCCCAATGATTCTTTGGATTAAATATAATAGTCTGATTTTCCTTCTTCTTATAGGTTGATGGCATCCTAAAAACCGTGCTACGGGATGAAATAATTGCGTGGCACAAGAAAACACAAGAGGACACTTCCTCTCCACTCTCGGCAGCTGGGCAACCCGAAAATATGGACAGCCAGCAGCTGGTTTCACTGGTTCAAAAAGCTGTTACTGCTATCATGACTCGACTTCATAATCTCGCTCAGTTTGAAGGAGGAGAAAGCAAAGTCAACACTCTGGTAGCAGCTGCAAATAGCTTGGATAATCTCTGTCGTATGGATCCTGCCTGGCACCCCTGGCTGTAACTTGAAATTTTCAATAGCTTTTTTTGCTGCTCTTTGTGGTGTGAGCCATATATTGTGTTAAGAAAATGTGAAAAAAGCTTTCCAGACCATGGCGTACCTGTCACACTGCATTTTGTCAGTCTTCATTTTAGTTGTGTTTACAGTGATATGACAATTTTCCTGTTCTTAATTTCATGAGGGGACATTTCCTCCTCTTTAAAAAGGGTTGTTTAATACACAACAACACCTTCCACAAATAGCTTAAAACAAAGAGAGGAAATGTAAATAATATGCAGAAAAATCTTATTTTATGATGAGTATAAAACTAGCACTGTTAGAGTTAGGGTCTGCCATTCCTAATAACGTGCAGTATATAAATTTTCTATACAACAGTAATTTAAAAAAATAAAGACAGTATTCCCAGTGAATTTTACTTTGAAATTTTACTTCATCGCTCCATTCGTTACACCAAATTGAAGGCTCAAATAAATACTGTTCCTTTAGGTTTGCTTCATAGTTACATGAGGAAAGTTGGTTTGTATAGAGACTTTTGTACCAAATGTATAGAGGTGACTTTTTGTTAGGCACTGAGAAAATGATGATCAAATTGTGCTAGCTTTTCATGGAGCACAAGCTATGTACAGTAAAAGTGTAAACCATTTGGGGTATTTGGTTTAGTTGTGGACAGTGTTGGGGGAGGGAGGAGGGGGAGGAGTTTATAAAAAGGATGGGAGAAGTCATCCTTTGATACATGTGTTCGGCTGTAATAGATAAAAAGATATAATCTTATAAAGTTCTTTTTTTTTCCTGATGTTTAGAGTTACAATAGCTTCTTTAGGATGAATCCATTTCTTTGTAATTTAAGAAAAGATCAGTTTAATGTTTCACTTGTCTTTCTGTTGTGTTAGCATTTTTATAAAACTTCAGTGTTGAGAATGTTTAAATTTGTACAGAGTGATTTTTTTCAAAATAAATATTTTGTAAAAGTCTGTGGTATTCATTTTATTTATATTAAAAAATTCTAATACTGAGGAGTAAATAGAAAAGACCCAAAAGCAGGTGAAATGGAAAGAGCCAGTATGTTAAAGTGTAGTGGTGGTGTTAATGTGATGTTCTCCTGTATGGTGTTGAATTGTTTACAGAAAAGCTGCAAGTGAAGTGACACCTATGACTACAAGTTCTTCATTCAGTGCACAGTTTGTCTTCCTACCCAGTCAATGAGTGTGTTAACTATCTGTTTTATAAAGGTCTGTCGTCTTTACAAGAAATTCAGGTTTTAAGCACTTGTTCAGAGGTAAAGCCTGTATCTGCAGATAAACTCTGTTAGGGGATTTCGGCTGTTCCCACAGAAACAAGGATGATTTTGATTGCTGTAACAAAGGATGGAGGGGGGATGTCTTCCTTTTTTTAAGCGGTCAACAGGTTCTTTAGAGATTTCAGAATAACAGGAGAGGCATAATTGAAGTTGATCACCACCATTCAGTAGCATAGTATGGTCTGTGAGACAAGGGGAATTTCTAAAAGCCCCTCTGATGACTTTTCCTGGGGGGGTGAGCTCACCTGCAGGTTAACAGATGAACTCGCGGCAGATCGAGGCTTGTGGTAGGTATGGCTGTAGCCCAGTTGTTTTCCAAAAACAGAGCAACGTGTGCTTTCCATAGGTCTCGTAGAGTTGCAGAGAGACCTGTTCCTTTCATTGTTGCAGCCATTGGCAGAAGCAGTCCCTTGAAACCGACTGGAGCACCAGTGTTACACAGGGGTGCGAGTGCCTCTACCGTCACCTTGCGCTGAAGCTGGCGCAGCGAGGCTGGTGGACAGGAAGGGCTGTGTATGTATATGTGAGTGTAGGTGGAAACGCACGCACGCACAGGGTTTCAGCCGTGACTCTAATATGAACTCGGAATTCTTCAGACAATTTCAGCCCATTTGCGGGCTAGGTGTTGAATAGGTTTTTGCTGTCTGCTTGGCTGGGAGGCATCACTTATGTCAGACAGGCCTTGGGTATCAGTTATTTGCTCAGCCTTCGTTTCCGTTCAAGAGGGCTATTCCAGTGTTGCGCTGGGCGTGGAGCCTTCAGTTAGCACAGACGACTTTGCTACGTTGCAGTATGTGCCGATTAAACATAGCTTATAGGGTAGTGTATAGTTTTGCTAGGTTAATTTATGAATTTGCACCTGTTCTTTCTGATGAGTAACAAGCTCATCTAGTATTAGAAATGAAGATACCTTGTGCTCCAGCTGAAATGCATTTTTTTCCCCTTGGGATGTAACTATAATATAGCAGGGAAAAAAAGGCAATTTTGAAAATGGAAATGAAGATATTCTTGACTTGTAAATGAAAAGGAAAGCTGGAAACCTTTACCCTTAGCTCTCATAAATGAAAAGTAAATGCACAATAATGAATTTACGGAAAAGTGTCATAATTTTTAAGAAAACAGCTGGAAAACGAATGTTCCATTTTTATTGTAAAATGCAACACAGTATTGAGGAACAGTGATAAATTTAGCTTATTCTGCGTAGGAGTAATAATCTAATCCTACAAATTCTGGAATAAAAACCAAATTGGAAATACTTGTTTGCTTGCTTAAACTGCAACTTCAGTAATGCATTGTGTTTCTCTGGAATTCCTTCACTTGGAAGATTTCCCATGCAAGTTTCTTTTTGATTTTTTTTTAATTTTTTTTTTTTTCTTTCCTAGGTGAGATGGACCAGAGCTGTTCCTGCTCAGTCACTACTGCCTTTCCCCTTAATTGGTTTGAGGACCTTAGCAAGAGCAAAGGGACTCTCATCAAGCAAGTAAGGATTTTCCTAGCTGTCTTCCGACTTTTTCCCTGGGTCCAGCAGAGTCGGTAGCAGATAAGGTGCAGCAGAAACAGATGGTGAATGTTCAGCCCTCGGAAGGTTAGAAAAGCATGGTAGCCAACGGGTTGACCCTGAGCCATGGCTGCGTGAGGACAGGTAAGGCAGCTCTGTGCACTCGAGATGCAGGCACTGAGATCAAGGGGATCAAGCCTTTCTGCTTAACATAGCAAATCCTTTCATCCACGTAAGAACTGTGGGATTTGGCTGGGAGGAAGAGTTTATTACTTCTCACCAGACACGTTTTGTTCTAGATGATGGTTGTGTTTCCTGGTGTGATGAGTACGGCGTGACTTCTATTCCCACGCTTTGTACGCTCCGTATATATCCCAGAGAGGATGATTGAGTCATGCTGTGTGCCAGTATATACAAGTGGAAGCTGAAATTCGTGAGTGGTTTGGAAAACAAACATCTTTTTTTTTTTTTTTTTTTTGGCAAAAACCTGCTTCCTTATCAAAACTGTGTTGGCAAGAAGAATCTGAACTTTCTACTTGTAAAACATAACACTTCCTGCGCGTGTCACAACATACTCTATATGCAGTCATTCACTAAGCTTAGTGCTTTCATGACTTGAAGGGAAATGTTGGCTTCCTTTTATTGAAGATTGGAACATTTGTAGCTGTGAAATATGGCACATGCTGCATCAGAGGAGTTGCAGTATTTTTCCCTTAATCACTTGCATGTCTTAAATGTGTCTGACTGAGAGATGACAGCATTCCATGAATGGAAATCATCAGATAATTCAGCCACTTTTCTGTTCATGATAGAAATCATAATGGAAAAATGAGAAAGTAAGTTAAAAGAGACAAACCTTGTTGGTTTTTGATTTGTGATATCTCTTGTTTATTTAAATATACTCCTAAAAGTTGCAATGTGAGGGAGCAGTGCTAATAGACAAAAGAGAATTCTTTTAATGAGGTTCCTGATGGTGTTAATCTGCAAAAGTTAATAGTTGGTTCTCATCATTGATGAATATATACTATGGATTTACATTATTTTTTGAGAAGGCTTACATAGTCTTAACCCAGGGTTTTACCCCTGGCTCCAAGGAGGTAAATCCTGAAAGCTTTTAGTTATACATGAGCATTCTCCAGAGTCTGGAGGAGATCTTCTGACATATCTTGTATGATCAGCAACTGTCCATTAGCAAGTAAGTGGTTTGACACAGTACATAAAGATCCTGATTATCTTCAAGAACACGTGACATGTATCTTAGCTGCATTTAATTTTTTATGAGTGTAGATAAGGGTTCCCTCTGTCTCATTAGTTTAGATATATGCTCAATATGCATCTTGCTGAGCAGATACTTGAAAGTGAAATACATTAATTGTCAATTCACTCAAAGTGTTCCCTTCAAGGTTTCTTCCCTCAGATTAGATATTACACAAAAAAAGCCCATGTTATTACTCTGTAAAATCAAACACTTGAGAATTAAGATCAAATTTAGATTTGTCTCTGAAATTGGGTGCATGGGCATTATGCTATTTTTAAATTCCGCCTGGTTCTGGTTTTGTCCCCCATCCCCCTCACCCCCGTAGAATCCTGAACAGATTTGGCTGGATCTTCATGAGGGCAATTAGTGATAAGTCCTTGACACCAAAGTTGTGCCAGCCATACTGTACCAGCATGTGTATTTCTAGACGTTTCATACGGACTCAGTTTCGCGCACATACCTGTGCTGGTGTGAAGCAGGCTTCGTGGTAGATTGCTCGATTTGGCATGAAAAACTGTAGACTAAACGTGAGCTGTGGATTTTACAAGGAGGATAAATAGTTGTCAGGTTTCTCAAATTATACTGTGTATTCCTGATTTTTGTAATCATGTTTGGTTTCGTCTTTATTAGATGATGCTGCTGCAGTTTAACCATTTATTATTGCAGTCTGCTCTCCAACTAGATTATCAGGATTCATTTGCTTAAGTGAATTGTACTCCAAAACAAAATCATTTAACATTAGTTGGGTGTTTGAGTCCGCTCTCTGAAACTGGTATGCTGCTTTCCTCTCCTGTAATTGGGCTGTCCGTGAACTGGCAGCTACACGGAGAGCGAGAGAGAGATTAGTTATTACTGGAAGATGACTCAAAGCATTTCAGCAGCAGACAATGAAAGCTCTGTTTCGTAATGGCAGTAGAATAAAGTTGCTTTTAAGGCTCCGATCTGTTTCAAATATGATGTATGAAATGTTCTTTTGTGGTGCGGAAAACCTATTCAGGGAGATGAATTCCAACTCACAGGAGCTTTTAATCAGCTCACTGTGGGTGCATTTCACATTTAAGAGGTTCAAGAGAGCACATGCGAAACAACTGGTGTCTCGGATGCGATTTATCATCGTTCGCTGGATGTGCCGGGGTCCTCGGC